TGGCTCTCGCCATATAGGCTCACCAATAACTAATAACATTGGCTCTTGCCGCATAGGATCACTAGTAAATGATCGCATTGGCTCTTGCCATATAGGCTCACCAATAAATAATCACATTGGTTCTTGTCGCATAGGCTCACCAATAAATAATCACGTTGACTATTGCCATATAGACTCACCAATAAATAATCACATTGGCTCTTGCCACGTAGGCTCACCAATAAAAAATCACATTGACCCATGCCACGTACCAAAAAATAATCACATTCGTTTCCAATAACCTTCATTCAGGTTGTATTATTTAGTTATAATAACCTTTCTTCAGGTTATATTGTTCATTTCTAATCATCACACATTTTAACATTATTCCGCATTTGGGACCTAAAGGTCTTTATCCACACATTCTTAATATTCCAATATGCTTTATTAAGATTTCTCCATTCTTCCGATTACATTCTCCATACTAGAATTTAAAATGTTGATTACCCAATCAACTATTATCAAATTCCAGATCCTCGTACTCGAGATTTGTAGCTAGTATATTAATAACATGCAATTATATATCAATTTCTTATATCACACATACATCACCGAAGTTTCAAATCTTACTTTTTACATCACCATTTGATCATTTTCATTGCTCGCTCCATTTAATTCTCACAAAGGGGTTATCATATTTTCATGAGCCAATATGACTCAACAATAATATGACTCAACAATTTCCTCCTTACTATTCTTCATTATCATCATACAGCTGAATACAACCTTTTCAACTGATCCACAGTGAAAGTAACCACTTTTTGCGTATGTATAATTCATTCATTGATTTAATTATGCGTTACAATTCCACATGTCACTTACTTAGGAGTTATAACTTCACTATTGTTCGTACTCTTTCCATATATGAATTCATCATAATTGTCCATAATTTAACATTCAAACGTTATAACAAAATGACAACTAACTTTTGCGTTGAGGGGGGTATGACGGGTTTCTTCTTTGACAAAGGAAGGTTGAAGATGAACTAAAAACATAAAGTAAAAATATTTTATAAAAGATTATATTAATCTCAATCTTTCATATTGACATAAATATCGAAGGTTAAAATATATTACAATAAGATAATTTTTTTTTTAAATTAATTCAAGTACTGGTGCCAACTAATGCTATTATTTTTGTAAAGTATGATGTATTTTAAATAATAACAAACTACATGATTCAAATTTATATAAAACATGAGAAAGATAAAAATAGTTTTTTTTTTCAAGTTAACAAAAAGTTTGTAAGAATATGTTTTTGATTTTTTATAAACACATTAATTGTTAGAATATGTTTTCAATTTTTTATAAATAAATATTAATGAAAAGCTAACATGTCAAAAAATAGTAAAAGTTTAACCATCAAGTATGAGTTTACAGTTTTGTTGGAACGAGTAACATCATGATAGTGTATGTTCTAGATAATGTTTTTAGCTGTTAAGAAATGTAATACATTGTTTAATGTATAATGCATAAAAAAAAACTTTGATTTGTCTATTATTTTGTTAAAATGGATATTGCTATCACCGTGGTATTGAAAAATGGGTTCTCGTGAGATTTTGGTAACTTGTTTATACAAAAGTGTTTTTATCTTGAGTTAAATTACAACTTCGATTTTACCAAAGCATTTAGTTCGGATTAATGGGTGATTTTTTTAATTGAATGGTTTATCAAATCAAAAGATCATAGCTAAAAGGGTTTCTGCACTATCTTAAAAGAAACAAAATACCACATGACCATTTTCACAAACCCACCAACTGTTCGACGAAATGTTCCACAAAAAACCACAGGCAGTTTATAGCAAACAATCATGTAAAGTTCCTAAATCTAAGAGCTAAATTGAATAAAAGTTCTCAATAGCAATAATTACTTGTGCAGATTGTTAAACGCCAGTAGATCCAAACCCACCTGCACCTCTTACAGTCGAATCAAGATCATCAACCTCTACGACTTCAGGTGTGATTATCTTCTCAATAATCAACTGTGCAATTCTATCACCAGTTTTCACTTCAAATTCACTATCAGAATGGTTGAACAAGATAACCCCAACTGGACCCCTGTAGTCGGCATCAATCACACCAGCCCCAACATCAATTGAATGCTTCCATGTGAGACCAGATCTCGGAGCTACAAATCAGTTAAATTGTAGTTTGTAAGTAACACAACCCTAGTATACTCTATGAAAATCAACCAAAGAAGGATCAAAATATATACCAATTCGAGCATATGTCCCTTCTGGTACAGCTATGGATAAATCTGTGGGAACCAGTGCTTTACCCCTTGCTGGCACTTTGGTATCAATTGCACTGAATCAATATCAAATCAAAATCTTAAATACAATCGTATGATCATCAATCGAATCCGAATTTCGTCAATTTCGCAACTAGGGTTTGATTGCGGATTTCTATATGGAATAGGGGATAAAGGATTTACATACCTTGAAAGATCGTAACCAGCGGCAAGAGACGAACCTCTTGCAGGCAAAATAGCTTTCTCCGATAGCTTTTTCACTCTGAAAAGAGGCTGTTGGTGGTCGGAGTTTCCATTTCGATCGTCGATTTTTTGAACCTTTGGGATCAGTCCTTCGATTTCAGGGCTGCCGTTGTGGGACATGGCTGAAACTGGCCAAAGAAAGGATGGTTTGGATGAGAAGTTGACTAGAGAAAAACGAGATGTAGGAGGACGATACTGGCGATATGGATAGGGTTTACTAGGAATGAAATAGCCCGCCAAAGAGAGGGTTCGTGGTATGGCGCCAAGAGTTCCCGCCATCTTTTACCCTTGAACAGTTGAACTCTTCTTCTAGGTGGTTTATCTACCCCTCCATAAATTTGTAAATAAAATGTACCCTATTGAATATATAAATTTATCATTTTGTCAAATATAATACATGTAACTTTACAAAGTTAGTAAAACACATTTTAGAAAAAAAAAAATATTTATCACATAACATCTCATCATGTTTATTGGGATGCTTTAACGAACTCATCTCATAATCATTTTTTTTATAGAAAATATCACAAAAATAATATTTATTCTTTGCGTTTTTTTAGTGTAGTTCGTGAAAAATTCACCAGTGGGTTATTCATATTTTCATTTTGTTGTGAAAAGTGTATTTTCAATCATTTGTAAAATGAATACCTTACACATATACATAAAGTTAAGTTTAATGTGTTTGGCTTTCAGGCTCTATGTCCAATGTATTAAGGTGTTTGGCTTTCAGGTTCTATGTTCAAATATCTTTGAAAACATTTTTGTATTTTTGTATATTAAGAGCATAGGCAATCCCACTTATTATTATTACTATTATTATTATTATTAGAGTTTAGAATATACTAATGTTCCAACCAACTCTATTTTATCCTTTATAAATAGATTAATTAATAGTGACACTCTAAATTTGAACTATAAATTATGTCATCTCCCACACATTCTATTTTTAATGTGTACAATAAAATTTAGTGGGTGTTGGAGATAACTTTTTAAAATAGCTTATTAGCTTTTTAGCTTTTCAAAAAGTTAATAAGTTAAAAAAATGTTTGTGTATTTAAAAAACGTTTTTTAAAACAGCTTTTTGGATAGGAAAAAGTAAAGTTTTCAAAAAGTTGAAAAATTCTAGCTTTTTAGTTTTTTAGCAATTTTACTCCTAAAAAGCAGCTTTTTTTATATAAACATTTTTTAAAATCAGTTTTTCCTAAAAGCCATAAGCTAATAAATACTTTTCTTAAAAATCACTTTTGTGATAAAAAAAACTAACCCAAACAGTAAAGTGGGGTTGAAGATGAGCCACTCTAAACTCTATTTTATACTCTACAAATATTACGTGGTTAAAGATGCTTGTTTGGCTTTTAGGTTCTATGCTCAAATATCTTTTAAAACATTTTTCATCTACATTTTTAGTAAGTTTTAAAGCTAAAAAACAAAGATGGGGATCGGACCCTACCCTCCAACATACAACACAACCAGTAGCATATGCGTTTACCATTTGTATTACACTTAGTTTGGTTTACATTACAAATCTTAAATAGGCTTCACGGTTTTATATCTGCTAAACAAATTATTTTTTCGCTAGCTAACATCACTTGTGTGAAAAACATGTTATGCTCACAATAAACAATAAAATTTGTGAGAAGTGTCAGAAAAAAATAACTTCGAATTCATGAACGTTTCATGGGTAGAAAAATAAGTAGGAGGAAATTGTAGGAGCATAATTAATTTCTCTTTCATATAAGGGGTGTTTTTAGTAAATAGTATTTAATAACATTATGATTAAGAAATGAGTTTCGAATAGGGTGGGCTTTTCACATTAAAAACGTGTACGGCGTTTGATTTTCTTGTCTTTCTTCAATTTTTTTGCTTCATAGTTTGGTTTAGAGTAGTTATAAGTTCAGATTTTGATTTTGGTGGGTTTTTAGTTTATTAGACGCACTATATCAAATCAGCATGGTATTCATCTTAGACGTTAATGCCTGTATTGTGTAAAATTAGCATTGTATTTATCCTAGAGGTTGAAGCTTGTGTGATGAAATGATATCTTATGTAAACACGTTTTAACTCATCTAAACATGAAATGCTGATTTTTGAAGACATGTTTGATTTGTTGAAATGACGGTTTACTGTAAACAGGTTTGAAATGCACGATGCCTCGCAAATAACATGAATTTAAAGCATGAACTTGTGACAAAAACCTGAAACAAGATGTTATAACAAAGAAAAAAAATAGTAATTTTCTTTTAAAGTTAGAAAATATTTCATAAAATGAAAAATAATCTAATAATATATTACAAGTTAATTTGTAAGATGCCAATTTGTAAGATGCTATCTTCAACAGGTTAGCCAGTGAGTATATATCAAAGTACAATGTTCAACTTAGAAATAATTCACATGTAGAATGTTATAAGAAAAGATAATAAACATTTCAATGCCATATTAATACCACTTGTATGGTGGTTTTATTTAAATGTCTTGATCTTTACTTTTATATAAATTCATAAACTCTATGCTTCATAAAGTGTTACATTTTCTAACTGAAAGTTTGTCTATCACTAAAAGTTGCAACCAATGCAAAAGGAAGAAAATGGAAGTAACACACAAAGATTGCAACAAAGAAGGCATGATAGAACATGGTATTAAATATGTTCCAGTTTTGTTTCAAAAACTAATACTGAAAACATAAAGAAAAATAGCTTTCTAATTCTATCAGAAGTCAAAACTAGTATAATAAATCAATGCCACAATACCAGGTCATTAAAGATTGCGAGCATTATAAGAAATATCAGCAAGTTTTGTTTTCACTGACTGAACCTTGTGGTATCACTCACTCTACCTTGTGCTTTGACGATTTTGCCCTCGTTTGTGCCCCAATTGTCCACCTACCCACAAACTTAAGGACCTCATCAATCAAAATAACAGGTAAAGCAACTGCCAACACTAACAGCCACTCATTCAGACTTAAAGGCACGATCCCAAAAACTTGGGCAAGAAAAGGAACGTATAGAATCAAGAAATGAAGGCCAAATGAGATTGACATTGCAAGAAGTAACCATGGGTTGACCCATGGTGGCATGGTCACAGGCTCTCGTCTTCTGAAAGGGCGTTTAGAGAATTAAACATTTCGATTGCGACCAATACGGAAAGGGATAGGGTCATGGCTTTGACTTTTCCCGTATGGAAGTAGTCACAAGGGTTGGAATCGAAATTGAAAACTTGGTCGCCAGCTTTGAAGGGCGAAACGGTAAAATTCTCCCATGTTTTACACTGGTCCCAGTTTCTGAGCTGGGAGAAGGTGACTAGGCTGTGATTGTCTCCGCTGAGGTCAATGCCTAGGAAAGAATCGTGAGTGAACCAAATGACGAAAACGCCCACGGTTGCTAACCCTACGTAAAGTCCAATCACCTGCACAAACAAAGACCCATGGTAAATTACACTCCATTTAATAATTTTCCGATTCCATTATTTTTCAAAATCATAGGATTTTAAAAACTTACGAGATATCGGAATAAAATCCAAGGACTAATCAAGGAATCGTCACTTCTGCGGGGGGCTTTTTTCATGATGTATTTTGTCTGGTGGATTAAAACCCAAGGCTGTTGCAGGTGGGCCATCAGTAACCAGATTCACCCATAGAAGCTGAACTGGAATCAGGCCTTCTGGAATCCCAATGGCAGCAGTTAGAAAGATGCTAGCAACCTCACCAATATTTGAAGAAATCATATACCTGTCAGACACAAGTGGACAAAATGCAATTAGTTTCATTTCAGACTATGTTCAACTATGGTAGTGTTTGGTTAACTAACCGGATAAAGGCTTTCATATTGTTGTAAATGGATCTGCCTTCTCCAACTGCAGCCACAATCGTGCTAAAATTATCATCAGCCAGAACCATGTCAGCAGCCTCCTTTGCAACCTGGAGAAAAAAAAAGATTGGCATTAAATTATGTCTACAAATAGATAATATTTCAAAGCAGATATACCTCAGTTCCAGCAATGCCCATTGCAATCCCAATATCAGCCAATTTCAAAGCAGGTGCATCATTTACACCATCACCAGTCATGGCAACCACTTCACCAGCATCCTTTAGCAGCCTTACAATCTCTTGCTTGTGACGTGGCTCAGCCCTAGAAAAAAGCAGCCCTCCTTTCTGTGCCAAATGACCTTTTTGGTCATGATGTTCCATAAACTGTCTCCCTGTTATACTTTTTGAACTTATCTCCTCATTTGGACCAAATACACCTATCTCACGACAAATTGCTTCAGCTGTATTCTTGTTATCTCCTGTTATCACCATTACTTGAATCCCAGCTTCCCTGCAGTCTTCAATTGCTTGCCTCACCTCTTTACGAGGAGGATCCTGGCAAAAAAAAACTTTAGAATATTTTCTTGTTTCTTTTTGACTTAATGGGTTAAACACGTAACCGGGAGAACTTTTTGTTAGAATATAAGAATAGAATGGTCATTTAGACACGTATTAACTGCTTACCCGAAGTCCTGCTAAGCCAGCAAAGGTAAGATTACTTTCGATTAAAGGATAAGAGGCAGGATTAAGTAAAAGTTTATGAGCAGGATGTTCTTCATCGCCATTATATGTTACAAATTCTGAAGGGTCATCTTTGTATGCAAAACCCAATACACGTAATGCACTTGAGGACAATTCATTAAGGCTGTCTAAGATTACTGATTTTGCCTTCTGGTCAAGTTCAACAACAGACCCATCTGACAACTGGATGTAGGAGCTTCTTTCTAACAGGTTCTCAACAGCACCCTGTCAAAAATTTAGCACCTATTTTGTTAATACTTTCCATTTGGACAAACATTAGACATTAAAATGAGAAAATAAAAAAAATAAAAAAAACCCTAAAACCAAATATGGGATTGTTTTACTTTTACCTTTACAAGCAGGGACTTTTTCCCATAGTTTGAGGATACAATAACCCCCATAGATTTCCTATCACGATCAAATTCAAGAGTGGCAATCCTGTGCTCATTTTGGTTCCATGCATGAGAACAACCTTTATTTCACAACATTACATGGGAACAAATCAGCTCAAATGCATAAAAAAGAAAAAAAGAAGAAGAGAAGAAGAAAGCCACTGTGACATACCCATAAGGTCGTTGTAATTTTTAGATGAACCAGAATCCAAACCCGCAGGAAGTCCCATTTTCTCAACAAGAACCTGAAGAATAGAAACAGATTATATATATTAAAACAAGTGTGGGTTCAATAAGAAAAAAGATCAAGACTTGTTAAAATTACTGTTTACTGTACCTTTAGTGCTGCCTCAGTAGGCATTCCACCAGCAACATACCCTTTGTCAGATCGCTCAATGCTAGCATCATTAGCCAAAGCAGCAATCTTTGCAATTGTTTGAAGGTTGGCATCCATTTTGCCAGCTGGCCAATCTTGTATTTTTCCATCTGATGGGTTATATGTGGACCCTTCCACATTAAAGGATCTAACAGCATTTGCTCTAGGACCCATAGCAACAAGCTTAGCCACAGCCATTTGGTTAGTGGTAAGAGTACCAGTTTTATCAGAACAGATCACTGTTGTACACCCAAGAGTCTCAACACTTGGTAATTTCCTGACAAGGGCATTCTTCTGGGCCATCTTACGGGTCCCAAGTGCCAAACAAGTAGTGATCACAGCTGGCAAACCTTCTGGGATAGCAGCAACTGCTAATGCTACAGCAATCTCAAAGTAATAAGTACACTTTTTCAAATGAAAATTTGAAATTTGTTGGCCAACCATCAACATACTCCCATGTGAGGAAGTACTTCACATTTATAAGCCAAACCAAAACACAGATTATCCCAATTAGCATGGTCAATTGGTCTCCAAACTCATTCAACTTCTTCTTCAATGGTGTGTCTTCTTCACTCTGTGAGGCCTCATGGATCTGGGAATGCACTTTTTCCTAATTCAGTATTCATCCCTGTTTCTGTGACCAAACAAATACAATTCCCATTTACAACTGTTGTCCCTGCAAATACAATGCACTTTTTCCCTTGGATATCAGTCTCTTCAGCAACAGGTTTGGTGGTTTTACTAACAGCTTCACTTTCTCCAGTTAAAGAGCCCTGTTCCATTCTAAGTGTTGAGCTGATTAGATTCAAGACCCTCATATCAGCAGGGACTTTATCCCCTACACGAAGCTCCACAATATCACCTGGAACAAGTTCTTTTGCGGGTAAGCCTGTAACTTTTCTACCATTGCGTATGACAGCTGCGTGTTCTGATTGAATTTCTTTAAGGGCCTCTAAAGCTTTTTCAGCATTACTTTCTTGCCAAACACCAACAATCGCGTTAAGAATTAGTATCAAAAAAATTACCAGAGGCTCTACGAATGCTGTGATCTCCATCTCTCCACCTTCTTCACCATCATACCAGGCAAGGACAAAAGAAATCACAGCAGCAACAAGTAAGATTCTAACTAGTGTGTCATTGAACTGATCTAAAATTAGACGGAAAACTGATGGTCCTTCATGCTTCTCAAGTTCATTCAACCCATGGATCTCTAATCGTTTCTCAACTTCTGCATCTGATAGACCAAATTCTCTATCCACCTTATATTTCTCTTCACATTCACGTGTTTCTTTCGCCCAAGCAGCATAACTATTTTGATCCGAGGATGAAGCTTTGCCTGTGTTGTCTTTCTTCCCATAGTTTTGGGCTCCTTTACCCATCACTATTCACTGAGAAAAAAATATCAACCAAATCACCAAAACTTCCCACAAGCAAACCCCCTGTATCTGTATGAAAACAAATTCACCAATACAATATGTCAAGCAACTGAAAACAATTTTGAAAAAATCATCAGAAACGATAGAAAAAGACGTCAGATCGCATACATGTAAACCAAGAAGAATTCAACTACTAAACAACATCTATCACATTTACGCTCAAATCACCTACTCCTAACAACTACGATAACCTAAAGATCTAGGCTTATTTCACCAAATTATCAACAAACGCTTATCAGAACTCAGATATCCAAAACAACCAACGTATTCGTCTGTACCCCATTGTATTACCTAACGTTCTAATTCAATAATACTTTATATAACCATAAAATGAAATCAAACAAACACTCAACTACTCAATCAACTTACAGTAATCAAAATCCAAAACCCTAACCGTTGCAAAAATCGAAAGATCTAGAATTTCTTTTCACGCGATTATACAAAAAAACAGGCATGTATAATCTGAAAAGTGTTTATAAACGTGTAAAATGTTGATTGAATTACCGGTAGAAGATCGGCGAGTATGGGAGAGAGCGGTGAGCTTACGGTTTTGGCGTTGGGCTTCACTTCTCCTTTTGAAGAGTCTGCGTGAGAGAGACGGGGAGAGTGAGATAAGACGAGATCTAATAATGAAAAGATGTTGCTTCTCGTGATGGGCTTTTGATTAAATTTTGATTGATTATGATTTACGATTGTTTGTTACTTTGTTAGATTCATTTATCTCAAACAAATCAAATAGGAGAATAAGAGGTTTTATTTAGATATCATTTTTTTTCTTTTCGCATCTATAACAAAATGATCCAAGTAAACCGCAATTTGGTCTTTAAAATTGAAAATTTTCATGTTCGTAATAATTTACTAGGTGTAAGACCCGTGTATTACGCGATCCGATTAAAAAAATATTAAATAGCAAAGTGTAACAATAAATGTTTTTTAAATAAAATTTTGAAATAAAAAATAAAGAAAGTTATTAATTGCAATTTACTATCATATTTATTACATTTAAAAATTGAAAAAAATTAGAAATTGACATGTGAATATTATTTATTTTAAAAATATCATAAAATAACAAGTGTCAAAATTAATAAGAAATTGACATGTCCCAAAATGAATATTCATTTATTATAGTACATATAAGATTTCATAACTTGGTAAATTTATTTCACAACTAATTTATAACCCTGAGAACCACGGATATAAAATTAATTAAACATTCATATTAAAAAATCACAATTATTAATAAATTATTTTAAATAAATTATTATTTAAGATATATTTTTTTAGTTATATAAAATTATAATCGTTGATTTAAATAAATACGTGAAGTTATATAACCTTATAATCTATATTAATTTTTTTTTATCTAATGTTATTAATTTAATATAATTAAAGTGAAAAATTAAAATTTTGAAATTTAAAATGAAGAATCAATTTTAATTTAATGTAATTAGAGTGGGAATTTTAAAATTTGAAATTTGAAATGGATAATTAATAAGTTGACAAATGACATGATATGTGACATAATATTAATGAGGAGTAATAATATTATGACACTTATCAATAGGATAATAAATTTATTCATTTATTAGAATATAGATATTAACATTCAATTTTTTGTTGACGAAATCAATATGTTCTTCTTTTCTTCACAATTTAAGTAGATTTCACAATTTAAAGATATTTAGTAGGAACAATACATATATTTTCAAGTTTCAATTTATATATGAGATCCAAAGAATCACTAAAAAAGAAAATGTGATTTAACACGAATAATACATATATTTTCAATCGTTCTCAATATATATATATATATATATATATATATATATATATATATATATATATATATATATATATATATATATATATATATATATATATATAGGGCTAGGTTATTTTGTTTCTTATATTTATTGTGTACTAGAATGCACCAATATGAATTTAGTAAATTAAATAATTATTTAATTAAATAAATATAAATATTAAATGATTTCCATAATTATATGTATATTAGATGATATCCATAATTATAATTCTCTTTTTATGGAAACTAATTAAATCCGTCATTAATGTCAGCAATAACATTCTTTCAGAATAAATTCGCATCTAGGTTTTTATATATGAGTTCGTATTTTGTTTCAGGACTCACCCACTTAAAATACAATAAAGTTGCATGGAATATGAAGAACGAGGGTGTATTCTACTAGAATACACTCTCATTATGCTAGAATACACTCTCGTTTTCTAGATATGAATTCATTTTGAAAGAATATTATTGTTGACATTAATGACGAATTTAATTAGTTTCCATAAAAATGAATTATAAGTATGGATAACATTTAATATACATATAATTAATACTAAATTCTTATTGGTGCATTCTAGCACATAATAGATGTGAGAAACATTTGAACCTACCTCATATATATATATATATATATATATATATATATATATATATATATATATATATATATATATATGGGTGATGTTACACTCGAGTCCCGGTAAGTTTCCCTTCTAACCCTTTCAATTGTATTTTTGCACTTTGACCCTTACGTTGGGCATATCTGGATGGTACATTGGGCGTACTGTGAGTACGCTGGACGTACTCCGTCTGGACATAAACCCTAATCTTTAAGGTTTGGACCCTATATATTGAACCTTAAGTCCCATTTTCCCATCCCATTTCCAGCCTCCATCACTAGAAACGTTCCCCTTGCAAACATTAGCCCCATTGTTGCATTGTGAAGCTTGAGAGTGTGTTTTTGTGTATTTCAAAGGAAGAAGAAGGTGGTGGTGAAGTATAGAAGCTAAAAGCAAGATTGGATCTGGAAGTCTTGCGTCATCCTCAATCTCCAGAAGGTATAAAGTTCATGCCTTGGTGATAACTTGATAGATCTTGTTGGTATGATGATATTATGAGCTTTTGTCCCCAAAATATGACTTTCTTGTGCATGGGATGCTATAGAACATATGGGCTGTCCTTTTGGACATTTTTCTATGTCTAGAGTAATAGAAATAGGATCTTGACTCTTGGTTCTTCCCTATGCATGAGTATGATTGTCTTAAGAGCTTAAGATGTTGGGGTTTTTAGTGTTAAGCACTTTATGGCCATGCAAGACCATAAAGTTGGAAACTTTATGGTCAAGGACGACATTTTGGACTTGGATATGTAACTAGGACGAAAAAGCTTAAGTATTAAGCATTTAATGAGTGGGAAAACATCTAGTTGTGTACGATGGGCGTACCTGATGGTACGTCGTGCGTACGCGGTTAAGTCCCCGTTTTCTGGTCGTGATTGAGTACGCCTCGCGTACGAGGTTGGGTCGACTCGACTGGGTTGACTCAGTTGGTTTGTTGAGTTTGACTAATTTTGACCAAAGGGTATTCTGGATAATTTGGTATTAATCGAAGTTGGGAAATGATTTGAATAATAGGTGACCGATAGAGCTGGTATTCGGAGCCAAGATTTATTTCAACTTGTGTTCGAACTGAGATGTGAGTTCTCTCACTATACCAATGGGTCTAAGGTACCAAGGACAACCCATGTATTGAATATATATATATATATATATATATATATATATATATATATATATATATATATATATACTGGGATGTAGGATTGTTATGATGGTTCTATGTGTGATTTGTTTGTGTATATGTCGACATATGGACGGTGAGGTTGAGGCCACGTGCCAACAAACCCGGAATGGTTGTTGAGACTGGAAGTCAACATACTCGATATGGTGAGGTTGAGGCCATGTGCCAACAAACCCTGTACGGTTGGGTTGAGGTATATTGCTTTGTGCGATAAACCAACAAACTCGGTATGATTGGGTTGAGGTCAAGGACCAACAAACCATGCATGTATGCTTGTATTGTATCTGTATTTGTTTGTGTTGTGGGGTATTTTGGGAAGCTCAATAAGCTTTGGCTTACGGTTTGGATTTCAATGTTTCAGGTACTTCTGATGAGCGGGGAAAAGCGAAGGCGTGATTGTACACATCATCCTGCAGTTTATATCAATTAATACTCTGATTCGATATTTTGACTTATTATGATTTGTAACAATGTTTTGGTAACTTGTGGATTTATGGATTTGTGTTTTAAAATGAAAAATTTTACTCTGATTTTTGGGACGTTACAAGTTGGTATCAGGTCCTTGGTTTGAGTGAACTGGATGAGCATTCGTGTGATTCCAGACTCAAACTAAAGATCTACAAAAAGATTTTTCAAACTTGTTTTCCAAATAACCACAAGGGGGATGCGATGTGTACAATCAGTCGAAGCTCAAAGGAAGTTCCCCAAAATACCCACACATGTTATGCATATATGTTGATATGTTATGTGATGGAACTGCATGCTAGAATGTAGACTAAGGATTCACAGGAATCACATGATAGAGTTGTCTGATACATGATGCCTTATAGCCTAGGAGATTTCTTTGAATTGCTTACCTGGAAACGACACTTTTGCTGCTATTAGCTGAGTATATGCGTTATAAATGTACACAGTTAGGATCTTATAGCCTTAGAATTATTGATTTAGCTTTACTTCCTGCTCCTTGTTTGGTTGTGGGTGTAGAGTAGAATCACTTATTCGACTGTCTATCCGATTCGGCGCTATGTACGGTTGGCATATGCAAGGTGACCGCAGTGTTAGTAGAGGTTTCATGGGTCGTGAGCGGATATTTGTATAGTCCTAGTGGAACCAGGAGTTGTGGTCACTCTTAGGAGCATGTTCTAGGGTGCGTGTGCACCAAGCATAGAGGGCCCAGTGGGCCAAGGGCTTTGTGGCGATTACTGAGACAGATATGGGTAGGTGTGGAAGGTAGTATATATGGGCCCGTACTACTGAAAGCACATGGCTCGTACGCGTGTCAAGCAAACCACAAGACCCGAGCTTGAGATATGTGAGCTGTAGGGAGTTACTCTATTGGTGATATGATGAATTTATGTTGTTTTTTTCAGCATGGTGGTCACTAGAGGTTCGGAGTAACATCCAGAATCTAGAAGGTCAATTATGGAAATAAAAACCCCATTTCTAAAGGTCAACTCGTCGAGTTTAAGTCATAAACTCAACGTGTTGGAAGTATTGGTCACGCGTGTTTTTGAAGACCAACTCAACAAGTTGGTGAGGACCAACTCGACGAGTTGGACGTGGTTTGGGAAACCCTAATTTCAGGATTTTTCACCCTATTTAAACAACTTAAACCCCATAAGTTGGCCTCATTTCCAACCTCCATTGTCCTAAACCCTAACATCAAAACCCTAAGGAATCTTTGAGTGAATGTGAGCCATTTTGGAGTGTTTTGGGTGTGTTTGAAGCCATTGGAAGAAAGGAAAGCTTGGTGATTTAAGAAGGAGCTGCAGATCCCGAATCCTTGCTTCATTCTCGTAATTTTTCTGGTAAAAAGTTTCAACCTTGCTTTGTGATTTCTTAGATCTTCATCTTGGGGTTCTTTTGCTTGTTTTGGTCCAAATGATGAGGTTTTGGGAGTTGGACGTCCCATTTGGTCAACCCTTTCAGATCTAGGGTCCTAGGGAGCTTTTATGGCACAAAGGTGCCAACTTTATGGCCCTAAGAGCTCCATGCATCCATTAAGCCCTTGTTATGGCCTTTTAAGCTCCTTTTATCCTTGCATGTGAGTAAAGTTGAAGACCTTGCGGGACCTTTTAGCCTTTAAGGTCCAGATCTGTGTTCATGAGCTC